TAAGTGGGAGAACTTGCACAATTGGTGGCTGACTAAATACTTTTTTGCCCCACTGCATATTGCACGTACCTGCACCCACACGCCCCCACGTACGTTTTTGCAGTCAGACGTGATCACCGTGACTCATTATGCGGTCTCTGCCTCAGCATCCCTACAATAATTGCTGTGAAGCGTTCAGAGCCAGCCAGAGTAAATTATTCTTGTGATAGATACGTTGTCACAAACAAATGTACTGACACAAATGGTGCTGAATGTATACTTCTGCCCTTTTAAGATGAACGTATTTTTTTAGAGGCTGAAAGAGTTTCTTTGTGTTAAGTAGCTTGCAACTGGTATGGAAGTGAATAAACAAGTGTATTAGCCACCTTAATCTTTTTTAAGACAGCAAAGAAAGTAAAAACTCCCTAATTCTGATCAGTGCTTTAAGATTCCCTGAAATATCCTTACTCGTTGTTTGAAATACTTGGACATGCTTTCTTGCTTTTCTTAAGTGAGTCGTACAGGTTGTCTGATAGGAAATAGAAGGCTTCATTATGCAGAAGTATTTTCAATTAATTTTTGCTAGCAAATATCTGGTGTTGCTCATTGCTTTTCTGTGCAATCTAATAGGCGCAACTTGCTTAAAGAAATAATACAAATGCACCACCAGTTACCTATGCAGTCATAGCACAAGGAACATCAGGAGACTGTCACGTTTGATTAAGAGATTTTGTGTTATGTTTCTTGCTGGATTGTCAGTAAATTAAAGTTTAATGATGATCCATTTCCTGAGGCAGTTCAAGTGGCCCAAATCCAGCTTGAGAACAGGGAGAACGGGTAATGTGGTAGCTGTTTCCTTACATCGTTAATGTGTGATGTTTTCCTCTGCCCACTGCTCTTTGAGAAACTCAAAATGCTTTTAAAGACTTGTCATGGTAAAGCTTACTGTTGTGTCAAATCATACGAACGTTCAGTGCCGCTGAAGAGAAACAGATGTTTTTAGGGCAGATCATTAAAGCAAGTCCCCTGCAGTGAGTTAGCTGTCTATGAGTGTCTCCCAAAACATGTTTTTTTTTTTTTTCCCAGTGACAGTGGAAGTAGAAAAACAGCATTGCAGGAAATGTTTAAAAATAAATGGGAAAAAAATAGAGAGTTGTTAAATCACTTTGCCTGCTACGTGGTTTGTAGTCCCTGCAGATTTGGGGTAAGAGAAAGACAGTACTGTAGGTATTCTATTTTCTGTGTAACTGTTTTATTCACAATTTGAGCCTGCTGATTTTATGCGCCGTGGGCATTAGTATGAGCTGTACATGCCAATTGTCGAGAGCCATTAGGACTTGCTTTGTATGGGAGAAGTGAATCTGACACACACATCCTCTGCACATTCAGACATGTGGGTGTGCACACACATAGAGCTTGTTTTGAATCTCAGGCTTGTCTTCCCTTCTCTGTAATTGAATTACAATTATAAGATTGTGATCCCTGGTTAAATGGGGATGCCGTTAATAATTAACCACTGTGGGAATTTGGAAAAAGGAGTTTATAAGCACGCCGATTCTGTGATAGATCAGAGGGTTGTATGTTCTCTGCCTGGTATTAGATGAGGACAGATCCTTCAGAGTATCTCCCCTTGATGTTAAGTATATTCATCTCAATCTTCCCTCTGTCGTTTTGATGCTGTATCAGCCAGCTGTGGAGAAACTTGGAAGAGATAGAATTCAGACATTCTGATGTAGCTTTGCATATTTCCTTCTGATCCCAGCTGTTGCCTGTTGTTGTTCTTTCAAAATCAGATTCAGGAAAATAATTGAATTGAAGATTAATAGAGTTCATTTAGCGATGCACTGTATCAAGTGAATATAGTGTACCACTAACAGAACTCAGTGAATTAATTAGTTTATCAATGAACACTATAAATGGAGTTACTGTATCCACATGCTGTATAAAACTAGGATTAGGTAGTACCATAATATCCCCCATCAGAATTCTGTACAAAATGGCCAAATTTAGGCAGTGTGATTTCAGCCAGTTTTCCAGGGTTTGGGATCATTTGTGGATGGAAGAGAGAATGCTGCCGACCTAAAAAAAATGACCTGAAAAGTTTTGGCATTCTAAGTGAAAAAGCTGAGTTTTAGCTACTGATTCCTAAAGACTAGCCACGCTGGTATCAGGGAGCTGTCAGTAATGAATTAAATGTTGTTCTCCCAGTAAGTCCCATAGTTAACTAGCATGAATTAATCTAGCAAGGAAGTACAGATTATCTCAAAAACCAGAAGCTGGTTGTGTAAATACATGCATAAAGGATTTATCTTCTTGACAGTGAGAAAGGAAAAGTCTGCAGTCTGCTGTAATCAAGATTGATGGGAGTTTCTCCATGCTACCTATATTCTTGTAATAGCTCTTAACTTTTGAATCACTGACGTGTGCGTGTTTCAAGGACACTTTTCTTAATTGGTTCTGATTGTATAAGCTATGTTCGCTGGTATGTCACTCGGGTGGAACTTGTATTGAACGTCTGCAACAAACATAAGATTTTGCCGTGATGGATTAAAGGCTCAACCCTGCAATGTGTGTTGATCTCCTAGACCGTAGTTACGCATTCAGGATAGCAAGACATGCTTTGAATTGCTTCTCAGATGGGCAGACTAACCAAATAAACAGAGGCGATGAAACAAAATTGGCACTGTAACATTAGCATGGAAATATGCAGATGGGAAAATAAGTCTGCCAAAAAGTGCTAGTGAAGCTTACATTATGCTTTGTTTGTATTCAGTTTACAAGAGTAGTCCTATATGATAGTGTATCATCTTCTAATTTATAGTTGCTGTAACCAAGGCAGAAAGCATAGAAGAAAATGAAGAACCATTTATTGCCCCTTTGGGATTGAATGTACCTTCTGATGTGGAACTGGTGAGTGTGTTTTTAATATATACATCAACACAGTGTAATACGTACAGCATCTTTTTTCTGTAATTGTGAGTAACGCAAGTAGTAAATCTTGGTCGTCATCAGCTCGGAAAATCAATTCTGAAAGCTTCCTGTGTATCTTATCACAGTTCGTGTTGCTTGGTGTTGCATTCAGATTGGCAGATTTCGACTGTAGTCCTATTCATAGTTACCTGGGAGTAAACCAGAAGTAAGCCTCTTCTGAGCAGAGATTCCCAGATTGAGCTGTTAAACATTTAGGACTGTGTTGGGTGCTACTGATGTGCTGCAAAAGAATGTTTGGCCTACTGCAGACAATTGCTATAATAATGCTCTGATGAGCAAAAACCATCATCTTTTAGGGAGGTTATCTGAAGTTTCTTCATAAGATTTACTGCTCTGGATTTATTTTCCCAGTCTGGCTCCTCCGAGTTGAATCTTTCTGATGTAACTTCTATTTTATTACCTAGAACATCTAGTTTCTCCTGATTCAGAGAGGTAGGAAAATATTTGCCTGATTATTGCATTTCAGACGTTATTCTAATGCTTTTCCAGTCCACCATCTGTAGAGTAATTTAGAATGAAATAAGAGATGTGTTTGTGCATAAGTCTGAGCCCTTTCACGATTAAACCATATCAGATGAAGGTGCTAGTCTTCCTCTTGTGACTTGCACTTTGCAGTTTCAGGCCCTGTGCAAACATTAATCAAAGCCTTTTGATATGGGGAAGGCATCTCAGTATCCTGAAATTCTGAAAGCAAGTTAAGTTCTCCGAGGAGGACATGGAAGAACTCCTTAGGTCTCTAGAATTCTTACAGATGTCCCATAGAGAGCTAACTGTAGCCCTTCTTTGTTCTTAATTCCCTCCCCCCCCGATCTGTAGAATTCATTTCCTTAGCATTATTGCACCCATGTTTATGACTAGAGGCATTTTTTATCTCTTTACTAGCAAATCATGGTTATCTACACAAGGTTACCGATAACAATATTCTAGTAATATCAGAATTATTTGCTCTGGTGTTTTCCCCTTAATCTTGTCACAAATGCGGGAGTATATCTTTGATAGGCTTCAGATATTTGAAAAAGGATACATAGATTTGATCTACCCCTGTGTGTGTGGCTCCATGCTCTTCTCTTTAAACATTTTTTGTTGCCTTTGAAATTAACTGCACGATTGGAGCTTTGCCTAAGAAATCTATGAAGCTGTTGCAGAATCAGTGTCCCACCGTGTAAATAACAGTATGCAGTAGGTTCATTTTGCCATCTAATTTTAATACCAGTGTTTCTGTTTAAAATGGCCAGCGTGATGAAGGAGATAAGGTGGTAGGCTAGGACAGGTTCGATCTGTTTCCAGTTGTGGAAGCACATCAGGTGACTTTGGGCAAGTCACTTTCTCTTGACTAAATCTACCTCACGGGATTGACAGAGACATTGGAGAAAGGAAAGTATGTTACATTGCTTGAATCTCTGAGAAAATATGGGTAGAAATCTAATTAATAGTGCTTTTCTTAGAAGTGTTTCATGCAGTTAACGGGAACATAACTGACAGTGTGGAATACAAAACAAAAACGGTTCACGGAGTATTTCTGTAAAAGCCTTAAATGATATATTTCTCAGGTGATTTGACTGAAAAAAATGAAAAAAGTCAGTGAATATATATATTCACTTAATATATGAAATATATATATTTCATTTAGACAGAGTTCTTGTTGATAAATGCTTAGCATGAAAGATTCATATTCCCTTTTTTGTGTATTTTCTGCCCCAACATTGTATTTTAGCAATAATGGGAAATAGGGGGTTTCAAGAGCCCTAACAAAGGGGTTTGGGGCCACAGGTTGCCAATCCATGTCCCAGATAGTAGTTGCACCTATATTGAAAAAGAATAAAGCTATAAAGTGACTACTTGCACACTTGAACTTACTGAAAAAGTTGGGCTTCTTTTCTTCCAAGTTTTTTACAGTTCTAATGGCCACATTTTCCATCGTGATTTGCAGTCATGAGATCCAGAAGCTTTTTCAGAGTTTATCTCTATGGCTTGCTACTCATTGGATGAGCACAGTTCACAAGCTGCACATTATGGTTTCCCACTTTTATTGTTGCAATTCCAGGCAGATGGAAGATTTTATGGCTCTCTGCTAATCCACACTAGAGCTGTATTTGGTTTTGGCATCATAAGTTCTAAATTAAACCTTGCATTTGTCCTACCAATTTGTTCTGGAAGCTCTATATTGCCCTGTGTAATCGCAGTTACAGAATATAAAGATGTCTTGCCTATTTTCTTTGAGTGGTAACGCTCTCAAAGAGCAGGCATTTTGCTTCCAGTTTTAAGATAATTTGCCACAATGTGAGCAAGGGACGGGGGGACTAAATTGAAAGAAGAACTGTATCTGTAAAAAATGAATATAATTTTTTCCCCTTTTTGCCGTAGCCCCCAACAGCCAAAATGCACGCCATCATAGAACGGACTGCAAATTTTGTTTGCAAGCAGGGGGCTCAGTTTGAGATCATGCTGAAAGCGAAACAGGCTCGGAATTCTCAGTTTGACTTCCTGCGATTTGATCACTACCTCAATCCTTACTACAAATTTATTCAGAAAGCTATGAAGGAAGGACGCTATGCTTCGTCTTCGGAAAAGAAAAAGGAGGAGGAAAAAAGTAAGTGATCTTTTTTTGAAAAACGGCATCAGGCAGGAGGCAGCTATAAGCTTGTGTGTTGCTGTCTGAATCATTCTAGCTTCTGACAGTTGAGAGAGCTGTTTTCTAATGTCTGCTGCAGATGTTTTAAGTAGTTTCCAAAGGCTGTAGAGCTTGCTGGGGGATGATTAGAAGTTTAAACATCTGGGAATGATGGCCTCCCAAGGCATAACCCAACTTTCAGCAGCGTTTAGCAGAGTTCCTTCTTAAATCCGTTTTAAAAAGAGCTGAAGTTTTATGCTTGCGTTTACACGGCTTTGCCCCTTTGACATGGCTCTGCTAAAAATGTAGCCGTAACTTTGAGAAAACATTTGGCTTAACATTCCAGGCAGGAGATGTTATATATATATATATATACCTAAAATAAGCTAACATGCAGTTAGAGAGAAAAATGTTAGGAAGACAGAATTCACAGTATTCCAGTGCAAAATGGATGTTGTACAGGGGTGATTTTGCGGAAAAAGTCTAGATGCCCTTCAAGGCAGCATCATTTGCAGCCTCCACCAATATTCCGAAAATAACATTGTAAATAATAATAGCTGCTTTTTAATGTAAATGCGCATACGTGGAAGCCTCTGCTTTGCCCTTAACGTAATGGGAAAGCTTCAGCTAGCAAGCAAAGGGGCTTCAGCTTTTTCCTCGCTCCTTTCAGCATCCTCCCGGTGTGGCTGCCAAAGCCGTGAGGTGCTCTAGAAGCCTGTTCCTCCCAGAATACTGTAACGAAGTAAAGTCTCACTATTCCCTTCTTCACTTGATAGATGCAGCAAATGCTGAGGATGAAGATGAGGATGAAGATGAGGACGATGGAGAAAATTATCTGCATCCAAGCCTTTTTGCTTCTAAGAAGCGGAACAGGCTCGAGGAGCTTATGAAGGTAGGCAGCCAGTTGAAACTTTCTGAAATAACATCCATTTTCTTCAAGCAGAAGACTTCAGCCCCCAGGTTTTAAAGTGCTTAAGTTTGTGAGCTTTTTATACAATAATCCTCCCCACCACCACCTTTTTCCCCCCTTTGCTTTGACAGGCCCCTACTCCAGGTTACTAATGGTAGGTAATGGCCTCTTAGTTTTCAACACCGTTTGGGGTAGGCCTTTTTCTCCTGTGGGTTGGGGCATTTTCCTCTTGTCCACCAGCAAAAACCTTTGCAATCTCCCTTCTTCCACTTGTTTTTGGGTGGTAGCTGTTTTCTCTTTTTGCTTAATTTTTGCCGTGATGGTGTGTCAGTGAAACTTGAAAACTTCCTGATTTTGTAGCCTTTTAGAAATGGACCCATTTCAAAGGCAGGCCGCTTCCCCAATCTCAAAACAGTTTCTTTCAAGGACAGAATATTCAATGGGCCAAACAGGGATAAAAGTGTTAAGCTTCTATCCCTCCTCATAATTCTATCTCCAGCAAGCAACTTGAATCCACCAGGCCTGTGTGGTTGAATACTTGTGCAACCTTTTTGAACCACAGAGATTATAATTTAATGTTGGGAAATCAGCGTGAGGGGATGTGGACAATCATGTCACTTGTGTTTACCCCTTGCAGCCTCTGAAGGTGGTGGATCCAGATCACCCGTTGGCAGCCCTTGTTCGCAAAGCTCAAGCTGACAACTTAGCTGCTCCTCAGACGGGCGAGGGAGCAGCAGCTCAGTCGTCTCAAGTAGAATATTCCTCTGATCGTAAGTACATATTGATAAGAGAATTAAGCATGTGAGAAGGCCGCTGTTTATTAATGGGCTCGAGGAGACAGTAGTGGTGATTATTGGATAGCCTTTAGGAGATGTGCTTCTTATCAATTTGGTTGCATGCTTGGGCAGTTATCTTCTCTTCATTCACACATTTACACACTCTGAACACATCTGTAAGTTTCAGGAAAGGAAGTAGACTTCTGTTGTTTGCCATCTGCAGCTCAGGGTTGGATATCCAGAAAGAGCAACAGTGTCTTTGTTGATAAGATCCAGCCTCAGTACTCTGTTTTGGAGATACCAGTAATTAACCTTTGAGCCTATGTGTGTATATTCAAAGTGAATTGGGTATTGGAGCCGCAATTAAATACACGGAGAAGTTAACAGAACGAGCATTAAGGATGTGACAAAGGATCTTATTCAATAGATGGATGAACGCATTTTGCACATATAAAAGAACCTTGCCAACTCTAAAATTTTTCAAATACTTTCTCTGAGTTCAGAATTGGGGGTGGGGGGGTATTGTTGCATGTTGGGCCTCAGACCTCTGGGTTAAATTTGTACGCGCTAGAAGATGTTTTCTTGATTGGGGTCCCCTCCCCAGAATAGGAGAGCATGTCTTTGTAGCTGTAGAATATCCTGTTTAATACAGCTTCCCTGCAACTTGTTTGATCTTTTTCTGTTCAGCTTGGGCTGAACAATGAAGCTATTGCTTTAGAGTTGATAGCAATACTCCAGGAATAATGATCTGTCATTCTTGTAGAGTAATAGTCGCATCAGATGATGTATTTTTGTTCCTTTCCAATGATGTCGCTGCCCGTTTTATTAGAAGAGAGAAGATTGATTGTACAATATTGATATCCTTAACTCCAAAGAGCATAGTGGAAGAGAATTAAATTAAGGAAGATGGTTTCATTTCTCAAGGCACATGCCGTGCATTAGTGTATCCAAATTGAGCATCATAGGGTATGGTTAGCAATATTTTCTATGCTGCTCCTCTACATATAAGTGAGATAGGACAAGCTCATGTTAGTCTGTATTAACATCAGAGGAATGATGATTCAATTCCAGAGAGGTTTTGGATTCTTGCTTTCTCAACATAGTATCCATGGAACCACAATAATTCTGATTTAAAAACCAGCAATCTGGGCTGCAGTTATCTGTAGCTAGCTCATTCTTGGTGTGGAACACTGTGGTTAAATGGTTTTAACCCTTCATTTGATTAAAATTTGGGGGGGGGGCATTGGCTTCCCTGCACATTAAGGACAGGATGGAGGAGACATGCAAGTTCTGACAATGTTTCACAGAGATTGCATGGAAGAAGGAGCTTCCAGACCCCTCTCAAAAACTCGCAAGTCTTGTAACAGTGGGAAAATGTTGTTAATTTAGCTATATTTCTCCATGGTAGAAGAAAAAAGTCAAAACTGCTTAATCCATTTCAGAAACACAGCACTGTTCTTCCTTTAAAAGGATGTTCTAATTTATAACTAGAAGATTATTCTGAACGGTAGAGATGCAGGTTCTAACAACAGACAAGCTCCAGTACTGCGTATTTTGACTGACCCCAAAAGGTGTGAGAACTCACCTGAACGATTCTTCTTTAACGTGCACAGAACTTTTTCTTTGTACAAATGTTTTTAGCAATGGAGGCTCACATCTCTGCAAAATCTTGGCAATGGCCACAGAAGCAAACTCCCAGATATTTTATTGCTAAGAATGCAGTTGGCTGGCACCTTTTAGCACTGCAGTTCAAGGGTCATCCCACTCAAGTCAATAAGGTGATTTCAAAGTAATTCGAAAAGTGCGGGCTCAGCATCTGTGCTGCTGGCTCTGATTATGCAGTCCATACAAAAATTGTTTTTCAGATAAATTGAGATGCTGTTATTTCCTCTATTAAAGTTGGGTGCTAAGCATTCAATATAGAATGACAAAAAACCCGCATGCCTTCTTTTTTTATATTCCCATGTATGTCTATCTTTGGGCAATTGATCAGTGTTAAGTTCCTGACTTTTATTACTTGCACTAATTTGTGAATCAACACTTGTGCTTTGTTAGGTAATATTTCAGTTTAGGCAACTGTTACATGTCGGGTAGTCTGTTTTGAGTGCCCTAAAGCACAAATAAGAACCTGTCGAAATTATTTAAGTGGCTGAGGGGTGTGTGTGTGTTAACGTTCCCAAAATGGGCATATTCAGCGATTGGATGGAACACAGTCTGGTACTGAATCCATTATTGAAGAAAAGCTATAATATAAATGTAGTGTGATATTAATGTCAACCTAGTATATAAAAGAACAGGACGTTTTTCTAAATGCCTACTACCCACAGTGCTAAAATGATCTGAATACTGAACTTTAATTTAAATTCAGATTTCCACTTACATAGAAAATCCAATGTCTGCAAGCTTATTCATAGCAGTAACCAATTGAGGATCCTCTTAAGTTTTTCTGTGAAATACGTGATGTAATCAGGATTTCAGTAATGACGAAAGAAGTGAAATCTCAGTGCGAGTCTCAAATCTGATATGTGGCCTTCCATTCTCTGTCTCTGCCTATCAGAATACTCTTTTGTTCAGAAATATATATATATTTATGGCCTATTACGTTGAAGCATTGAACTGCAGAAAAGTGTACTGTTTTAGGTTTTATGGAGTGCAGGTATTTATTTTCCTAATCCTGAATCCTTTTGCTGGGTTTGCATTAACAGCATTGGGTTTTAATAGCTAATATTCTCAGAGAGGGTTGCTGAAGTTACAGTAGCGCAAGATAAACTTGGAAGATTGATTAATCAGTTGAGAAAGGGCTGGCAGGTGATATTTCAGGATGCCCAGAATGGAGTTGTAACAAAAAATGTTAATTCGAAAGCCTCTCTTTTAAAATAATTTAACTTAATTAATGAGGTGCTCTCTAGAATATCTACAAAAGCACATCTGTCTGCCATGAATAGTTAAAAAAAATTACTGGTTTCAGTGAGAAATAATATCAGCATTGTTCATTGCTATTATGAGGAATGTAATGGAACATTTCATATCTGGCCAATGATGGTCAACTTTCTATTTACT